AAATTGTATGATGAGTCGGAAATAATTATGTATTATCATACTAAATACTGTATAAGAAAAAAGTAGATTTTTGGAGCTGTTAGGTGAAATAAGTTAGAATCATCAACAAATTCAACAACTATAACTCCATCTTAATTATAATACACATCCATAAAGAAATTTATACCAGTAGACTTAATTTTTTAGGTCTTCCAAAACCTGAAATTTTGAAAAAGAAATAAATACCTCGCAGTTAAATAAATTTCTACTCTTTTAAACCAGCAATATCTCGAAGGACATAAGATATATATTTGTAAACATAAAAAACAAACGACGATTTATTATTATTTTTAAGTTATTTAAATTAATCAAATTAATCAAATATCTTTTTTTGTAACCCAGCATCATCTCAATATTTGTTCATCTTGAGTCGATACAATATTTATTACAAAATATCTGATATATAATATAAAAATTCAATTTTCGTCCATAATCAAAAGTTTATACACAAGAACGAGATGATTATAAACAATAATAACAATAAGACCATTAATGTGGTTTTTTTTTTTGTTTTTATTAAGTAATCACAAATAATTAGATCTTTATAAAATTAATTAGTGAAACAAATATCTCACAAGGTAGTTGCCAGATTCTCTTTTATTTAAACGACACTAATTCGTGGAGGTATTTATTGCCTCCTCATCTTCCTTTCCTGTTAAGATACAGACACAAAAACATTTATCTGAATATATATATATATAAATACGAATCGCTCAAAAAGGGCGAAAAAGAAAACTATTTAAATAATTAAATAATAATAATAAAATAAATAATTGATTAAAATGAAATATTTTAATAATTATAAAAGTCAGTCGAACTAATGTTAAAGATTGGGTCGATATATTTTATTTCAATTTTATAACTTTATATCATATACAATAATTTAATTTTGTTATTTTTAGGTAAATCTTAAATAAATCGACCTTCTAAATTTGAGTCAAAAATTTATTACGCCAATATAGAATATTTTCTTTAATATGAGTTTTAAAGATACATCATTATTTATGTTACATATACACGAAATGTTGAAGCAGACAAGGTTAGGTCAATTAATATTTTATGGATTTGGATTTATAGATTGAGAATTTGTAGGATTTTTTAAAATTATTCAGAATCTGATGAATGAGATATAACTTAAATAATATCTAAAAAAGGTTTTTATAATAAAGTGTATTTATAAAAGGTGAATAATGATTGTTAAATTTTTGTATAGCCTAATTTTAGTAAACAATTATTGAACAATTATTTGGATGATTTGGTGTGATATGCAAGTCCGAACAAATTTAAGATAATTACTGGATTTTTTTTTTTACATAGGGCTTTTAGATTTAGTGTAAATAATAGTAGTAGTGGAAGTAGACTTTGTAGTGGGAGGAGAAGAAGGAGAATATGTAAACGTAGGGGAAGATTTACTTGATGTTGTTGTTTGAGTAATAGTTACAGTAGGTCCACGTGATGTTGCCGTTATGGTTCCTACTACAGTGGTTTCTTGTTGGCTAGTAATAAAATTTGGAAGTATGATTAAAATAATAATTATTATTATTATAAAAAAAGAAAATTTTGGTTGTGGAGTCATTTTTCTTAATTATAAAACAATAGAATGAAAAAAAAAAAAATTCGAGAATTTTTTTTAAAGTTTTTTATGATTTTATATCCTTGACTTTTGTGCTCTTTTCGTGCGTGCATACATTGTATATATATATATATTGTTTAACATAAATAAAACATTTAAAACTTATAAAACTTGTATATGGTGAAACTTTAAAGAAATTGATAAAAATAGAATTATCACAATAAAAAAAATAAAGTAAAAGATATACAGTATATCATAAATAAATAATTAAAGCGATCAAAAAATCGACCGCGATTAATTACTAACTACAGTAGTAGTTTAAAAATAAATATTGATTTAATTAATAAGTCAAACAAATATGTACCAAAAATTCCATTTCAAAATTTGAAGGCTAATTACCATTTTATTTAAAAAAAATTTTAATAATAAAATTTTGCGACTGTTTAATTTAATTATCAAGAAAAACTTTTTATTTTAATTATAGTAGTTAACGTAATATAATGATTTCTGAAATTCGTGATTCTTTTTCGAATGCAAAAAAATAATCAAGGACCAAAAGTTATAGTAGTAATTGCCTATTTTCCTATTAATTATGCTTCTAAAAGTTCTTTATCGCAAGACTGGATGTTTTTTTTAATATAACTCAATTATACATATTAGGCTTAATTATTTTTCGTGCAACGAGATAAAAGTCATATTCACAAACTTTTTTTTTTCTAAAAAAAGAATCAACTTTCATTTATACACTATAAGTGAATTTAAAATAATAAATGGGACAACTAAATGCAAAATTCCGTGATCAAAGATAGATTAAAAGGTATTAAAGAGATTGCTCATGGTGGATTTGCAACTATTATTATGCTAAGCGGGTTGACGGAACAACAAATGAACTTAATGATACAAAGAGTAATATTGCAAAAAGCTTTAGTAGAGGCAGAAAAATATACAATAATATCCCCTCCTCTCAATTACATTTTCGGTTTTGTCAGTTCCAATTTGGATCAGCAAAGAGTTTATACTGCTGATATAATTTTAGACAAACTTCTTCTAGATCAGGACAAGTAACTCAGAACAGGGTTGTGAACCCATATTTCCAGTTGAGAATAATGCTATCAGAAAACTCTTAAATCTATGAAGCCAAAGATCCTGATCTGAAAATTAAAAAGGCAGATAAAATCACTATAAATTGCTTTTTAGATGAAACAATCAAAATTTTGAAACTCATTCAACAGTTCAGATTAATGATGTTGACTGTAACCTCCAAGTTGTAGCCAAATAGCTACTTATCAGGTAGTTACCTAGTTACTAAATTTATTTTTTATTTTATTTATTTATTTTTAATTTATTATATTAATAATATCACTTATTAATATTACTGCAGATTTTTGGCTTGTGGAGATTTGTAGATTATTTGCAAACAGGCGGGCATATTTGCAAATAAGCAGATCTTTATTAGAAATTACAAAATTTACAAGAGAACTATAATTTATTTAAATTCTGATTGTTGACTTAACTGCCTTTTTCCCAAAGTTAAAAGGACCAGTATTTGGCACAATCATAGACTAACTTTATCTTAAGATAATTTAATAATAATAAATGAAATAAGATTTACAATTATGTAATATAAAATAAATTGATATTCAATCAACTGTACTTATTAGGAGAAATCAAGTAAATTAATTTGAGCATTACCTTATATAGCACTCTGAAGTTGATGTATGATCTACCACATGATAATGAATTAAACCAGATAAATATGACATTTTACACTTCAATTATGAAATGTTGGGGCTCGAGTTACTCATCAAAATTGTATGATGAGTCGGAAATAATTATGTATTATCATACTAAATACTGTATAAGAAAAAAGTAGATTTTTGGAGC